CTGGGTGAAGACGCAATGCGATGGTAAAGGCCGAAAGTAAGGTCAGTAAAAATGTACGTTGTTTTTTATTTGAAAAATTTCTGTCACCAGCGGAGTCGGCTAACACTGCTGAATAGTTCCATCAGCACAACAAGTCTGTAGGGCTCCTTCTTACTTACTCAGACAAAACAGTAAAGACAACGTAAATACGCCTTTGGCAACTGCTGGACTATATTTTACTCGGGGGGCGAGGTGACTGTGACTGCTACAAATTTGATTTGAGGGGCAGTGCATGTGTAGCGACCCCAATCTGCGCGCAAAACTTGCCTCTCACAGCTGCTTGCAGGTCCGCATGCACCAGTATCTGCCTACCCCATTCCGGTCAGACCAATCATCTCTATATGGCTAATTCACACAGGGCATCACGGCGACGACTACCACGCTCACACACCTCGGGCACCTGCTCCCTCGTGGGTGGTTGTGCAATTGTCCAACTGTCAACTTCCTCAAACCTACTCTCAATTACTTCTGTACAGAAAAAACCATTCCTTCCATCTAGCGTCTCAATTCTTCTCCTCCCCACGAGATAATGGGCCTGAATATTGCAGCGGCAAGAGTTTTCCTGTTTTAACTTAAGCTACTGCGGTAGGCCTGACGAACTGCCATAACAATAGGAACGGGAATATACGAGGCCTATCCCTTGCAAAGGCTAAAGCTAAGAGCACAGCACTAGAATATCGAATAAACCAGACCAGTTTTAAAAACATCCAACACCTACCAATAGGTATGCGTTGCCTGCCGACTTCTATGGCATGCATCCGACTCGTCAGCCATAATTGGATTCACCGCCAGGACAACGCGGTTGGTAACCCCTGCTCTAGGGCATTATCGTTCTCGGGGATTTCTGTGTGCAATCCAACCGCTTTTAGTGACATAGGCGCGCAGTGTGGTTCAATTCCTCGCGATTTCGCGGGGTGTTCGCCATATACGCTTGAGATAGTATTTGTACTGGGATCCCGCATGGGCGACAGCGGGGGTCTCATTCGGTGGGCGTACGGGGATGCGACAACCGTAAATGGCACACCTTTTGTGCACTTAACGTGCTCTCTGCATGAAG